AACAAAAAAATAAAATAAGACCCCCTTTCTGTGCTCTCTCCAAAGTAAACTCTCATTTTCTGCATTCCTACAATAAGCTTGTTCATGTCTGACACAGCACTTAATTACTTTCATGTCTGTTTTGCCTCTAGTTGGTGAGCCCTGGAGCACAGAGATTGTACTGTATTCATCTTTGTTCTCCTTGAGTTCAACATAGTGCCTAACATATAGTAAGTGCTCAGTTAATAAATATAAGCCAAGATGAAATCATCCAATATTCAAACTTCTAAAAACAATTTTTACTGAAGTGTAATTGAAATACAATGTTATAACAGTTTCAGGTGTACAACATAGTGAGTGATTCAACAATTCTGTGTTACTCAGTGCTCATCAGGATAAATGTAGTTAGCACCTGTCACTAAACATTATTACAATATTATTGACTATATTTCCTATGTTGCACTTTTCATCACTGTGACTTATTTATTTTATAACTGAAAGTTTGTAGCTCTTAATCCCCTTCACCTATTTTATCCATTCCCCCATCTTCTCTCCTCTCAATTTTCAAACATTTATTGAAAGTCGGCCATGTGTAAGACATTGCCTGGCTAATGCTCTGGTAGTAATCATTTTGCGGTATATAAGTGTGTTGAAGCAACACCACTGTACATCTTAAACAATGTTACACATCAATTACAGCTCAATAAAGTTGGAAGAAAAGGCATATGCTTAGCATTGTAACAGATATGATTAGGTACATCAATATGTGAGATAAAATAAATTGGTCTAAACAAAGAAACAACAACATGAGGAACCTGGGTGGCTCAGTCAGTTAAGCCTCTGACTTGATTTCAACTCTGGTCATGATCTCATGGTTCATGAGATAGAACCCCACGTCAGGCTCTGTGCTGATAGCATGGAGCCTGCTTGGGATTCTCTTTCTCTGCCCCTTCCCTACTCATGCTCACTCTCTCTCATAATAAATAAATAATCTTTAAATAAATAAAGAAACAACAAAAAAGGCAGGGAGGTAATTAGTACTTTTTAAAAACACACCAGCTCTTGGGTTCAGGGAAAAAAAAAAAAAAGAAGGCATTTGTAGATGCTAGTGTGCTAAGTGAAAGAAATCAGACTGAGAGGCTAAAAGAAATTAAATCCGATCTGGTCCTTCCCTCCATCTCCTCAACTGCCCAGCATTTAGGCCATCCCCATCTCCCCACTTCTAAAATAAAATGAAGCCCCAACCACATCCACATGCAACTGTTTTTGGCTGTTTATGTAGAAAGCTTACTGATTATGGACAAGAGGGCTGAAAATACTCTCAGGAAGATAGCAGAGATTAACAGAATGACGATGTGTTCTCTAACGTAGCAAAAAGATGGCTCAAACCAATTTGCTACTTTAAGTATTCAAAAAGGAAATGAAATAGAATAAGTAGATTTTTTAAAACTATCTCACATGCTGATTAATGGAAAGAAAGGGTAAGGTCAGCTGTCTGTGTTAGCTAACTCATTTCATCTCAATGTCCGTGTCCTCTTCTGGTAGTGGGGAAAAAAGGCTACACTGTCTTACAGAGACAGCACATCAGAAAAAGCTGTTGCCAAGGTATTTTTCTTACTCACTCGGCTCTTGGAGGAGCCTAGTAGGCTCCTGAAATGTATTTATCATAGAGAGAAAAGCTTAGATGACTGGAAAATAGATTTCTCCACATGATCACAGGATACACACAGAAATAGGTTCCTAATCAAAATATCCAATCAAAAACCAACTTTTAAGAAGAGAGTTGGAACTACACATTGGTTCTAAAAGCTGGTGTGCTTATTCTAACAATGTTACACAAGTGGAGTGGCAGCCCTCCCAGCTGCCGAGGGCTTTCTCGGTGCCAGGGACACAGCTCTTCATTCATTTCTTATTGAATCATCACTACAACTCTTTGATGATAGTGCATAATCACATACTATTCAGGTTTACCTATTTCATCATATTTGTCCTTAAATCGAAGTTTGTCAAAAAGAAAAAAAAACTTAGAAAATAACTTAAAAAGTGAAACAAAATATTACCTTGAAAAACATTCTGATTTTTTTGTTTTAACTTTGCCTTAAACACACACATGATTTTTAGGGCCACTACAAATAAGCAGAATTTAGCAGGTATTACAATTCTAGTAAGTTTCCTTAAATAGCTCTTTAAGGTTAAAGCAGTTTTCTCTGTGTTTAAATGGCTTAGCTTAGAGTCATTATTCTCCAATGATACTAATCACTTTAATTCTGATTAAAGGGACACACAGGGCCATTCCAGATAAACTGTCAAATCAGCAACAACCTCAATCTCCTAGGAAAGCCTCTGAGAAATACTCCAATATCCTGTCTGTGGCTCTAGGGATATATATCCCTTCTTATTTACAGTATAGCTAATAGATATTTATCAGAGCAACTTTTAAGATAAAAGCAAATTTAAAGAAAAATATCTTTAAACTTTATTTAAGAATAAAAGCAAATAATATCATTAGGAAAAATAAAGAAGTCTAACTACTTTTTTAAAAATCTGATTTTGAAAAAAAATTTTTTTTACATTTATTTATTATTGCAAGACAGAGAGAGCTAGAGCACAAATGGGGGAGGGACAGAAAGAGAGGGAGACACAGAATCCAAAGCAGGCTCCAGGCTCTGAGCTAGCTGTCAGCACAGAGTCCAACGTGGGGCCCAAACCCACGAATCATGAGATCACGACCTGAGCTGAAGTTGGACGCTCAACCGACTGAGCCACCCCCAAAATTTGATTTTTAAAACCTCTCTTCTTGCTCTCTTTTGACAAATACTGGGTACTGTGTTAAAATATTAAATTTATCAGGGGCAGTTGGGTGGCTCAGTCAGTTAAATGTCCAGTTCTTGATTTTTGGCTTGGGTCATGATCACACAGTCATGGGATGGAGCCCTGAGTTGGGCTCTGCGTTTGACAGCATGGAGCTGCTTGGGATTCTCTCTTTTCTCCTCTTTCTCTACCCCCACCCCACTTATGCATGTGTGTTCTCTCTCTAAAAACAAGCAAATAAACATTAAAAAAATATATTACAGTTATCATAGAAATCCTTAGCAATGTTTTTGTTAACTAGTGTAACAATTCCCCAAATACTTTCTCCTCACATTCTTTTCTCTTTAAGTTTATTTATTTCGAGAGAGAGCCAGGGAGGAAGGGAGGAAGGGGCAGAGAGAGAGAGGGAGAGAGAGAATCCTAAGCAGGCTCCTTGCTGTCACTAAAGAGCCCCACATGGGGCTCATTCTCATGAAATGTGAGATCATGACCTGAGCCGAAATCAAGAGTCAGTCACTTAATCGACTGAGCCACCCAGGCACCCTTCTCTTCACATTCCTGTATGAATACCATTTAACTTATGATAGCTGAGTTAAAAAAAAAAAAAAAAAAGGCAATTTACTCTTGGGCTTTCTATAAAACCATTTTTTAGGTTTTAGTATCTGATTTGTAGTGTCTCTTGATTATGAAAAAAATTATAGTAAGTCAAAATGCCTAGTAAAATCTTTTTAGTAGTTATGACTTATTGCACTTAATCTGATTATTTTTAAAGGTACCATCTCAAAAAAGTTAAAGGAACTTTTGATCTCTAGCTGAAGATAAAAAATCACAGTTTTTAATTGTGAAGAAAATAATCTTTTGATGTTTGCAGGTAGAGTACATAAAAATAACCTACCAACAAACTCAGTGCAATATCAAATAATAAATTGTTGATCATAACTAAAGTAATAAGAATTTGATTGAAAAATAACAATTAAGGTTATGTTTCATTTTTACACTCTGGTTGTATTTCTATGAAGTTTAACTTGAGCCATATTTTGGAAAAGAGAATATTGTAAATCTCAAAAGCTATGAAGAAGAACCCAATTTTGTTTTTTTTTTGTAAAAGGAGAGTTAAGGCCAAAGTTATTTGTTTGCAGATTTGAATTTGAGTTGTTTAAAATGCCATTTATATTCTTAAAGAATAAGGCACCATAAGCAGTCTTATGTTAAAATCAGAAGTGTTGTTACTACAAATCTGATCTAGAATAGAAAGTAAGAGAAAGAGAAAAATGTATTAACTCAGTTCTCAGAGAATGATACATTTTAACAGCTGTCCAACAGGCAAGACACAAAACTTGAACTATTTTTTACATAACACTTGAGACTGTGACCCAATTCTTGTAATAGGTTTTTAAAATTTAATTAATACACATTGCTTAAGATATACCTTTTGGTAAATACTCTTACAATGAAATTAGTGGGAACATTAGTTTGAGTGTAGTAATTAAAAGCAGGGTTCAAATTCAAGCTCTTTCATTTAATAGGACTGTATGATCTCAGATAATTGCTTTATCTTTCTATGCCCCAATTTCATCACCTATTAAAAGGGAAAAATAGTAATACCTACTTCATAAGGCCAGTGGGCTGATTAAAAGAAGTTACTCTTGATAAAGCACTTAGCATAATGTCACATGTAATATTCAATAACTATTTAAAAAAATTTTTTTTAAGTGTCTTGTTTATTTTTTGAGAGACAGAGAGAGAAATAGAGTGCAAACCGGGGAGGGGCAGAGAGAAAGAGAGACACAGAACCTGAAGCAGGCTCTAAGCTCCAAGCTGTCAGCACAGAGCCCAGTGCGGAGCTTGAACTCACAAACCATGAGATCATGACTTGAGCCCAAGTCAAACGCTTAACCAACTGAGCCATTCAGGTGCCCCATTATTCAGTAACTATTGAACTGTGCTATTATTACTATTGTTTTGGGGCTTATTGTTGAATGCAACAAATGCCAAACTTTCTTCTTTTGTTGAGACTCAATTTAACAGAGTCAAAGAGGACAGAATGAAAATTTGTCATCAGGGCACAGTAGTGATTTCTGACTTACCAGTTACTTGATTTACTGTAATATTTTCACTTTCCTGTGCTCATAACAACTAAAATTAGATGCATAAAAACATCAAGAATTGATGATGTCCTTCACTGAGATATCAACACAGAAGTTACCTACCTGTGCAGCTCCTCTGTTTTGTCTTCAGTTGGACCTACAATTAGTAAACAATGGCGAAGGACAGCTGCCATGACACGGAACTGATGAGAATCACTCTACAACAAATAAAAAAGACAGGAGGAAAAATTGGGGATTGAACGCCTTAGTGAAGGAGTCTGGTATATTTCTACATCCCTGGGAGTCATCTTATGGACTATTTGTCCCCCTCAAAAGTCATTCTTATACCATAAATAATAGAAGTCCGGATACTGTAGCCAAAATTCTCAATACTAAATGGATAGTTACTGTCTCCTATGAAAAGCCACTTCCAGAAATGGCTGAAAACCAGAAGATGCTGATCCAACCACTCCCTTTATGGCATATCAGGCAAAGAGAGACATGATCAACACCCAGGCACTTCCTACTCTATTTTACCTTAAGACTCAATTCACCTGAGGATCTTTTCCATTTTCAGAAAGCCTGGATTCTTTTGATAGTATACTGTTCCAGTTTACTAATGTTTATGAAAGTTCAAACAGGTGTAATGCTATCAGGTATTTTAACAGTGGGTTGTACATCCTTAATGCCTCATTTCTTATTTTAAAAGCAATAAATTAAAATCTAGAATTTATCAACCTTATTTTAATGAGTGTTCTTTATCTCCTGTTTCCCCCAAATCTTGCTAGTTCCCCCAGAATTACCAGCAAGCAATGAAAAACAAGTGCTCTGAGTTTAATCTCTTATTTTTCCAATGCTTACTCATTGTTATTAAAAACACAGAGTCAGAGAGAAAGGCAGACAGAAGAAGGCAAGCAGTAGGAAATACGCTAAAGTTTGATTAATCACTCAGTTTACTTCCTCTTCTTTTAGTGAGGTTTTGGGCCACTATAATTTCTTTAATCATCTGCATCAAGGTCATATCTCTCTTCTTCCAGATTTTTAGTAATTAAGAAGACATGTAAAATAAGTGATAATTATAATAGAGATCTTGCATGTGCTATACTTCAGGAAGTCTCCAATTACTTCAAAACTATTTAAGAATTTAAAAACTTTATAAAATATTGTTCAAATCTAAAAACTTTATTTTTATATATAATCTCAAGTCTATATAAAGTGAAATATACTCACATATTATATATATTTATATATATAAAGCCCTCTGAGAAGATGTCTCCTATAAAATCTAACAAACAATAGAGCACAATTTCATTACTCATAATGCAGATGACAGTATTTTAAGCATAACACCATCATACGTTCATTTGGAAGAGATGAAGGCCTCAGTGGCATAATGGAAAAAGCACTGCACTTGGAGTCTGGAGTCTAGGCTGTGACCTTAGACAAGTCATACAGCTTCTTTGAGCCAAAGTTTCCCCCCACACATCTCCACAAATATGAGACTGTTAGGGTTATAAAAGGATTAAAGAAGATGATATACATGGAAGTGCTTAGTACTGGGAAAGAAACATTTGAAGGTAAGGGGAAAGGATGAGGGAAGAAGGAAACAAAAGGTAAGAATGATAGAGCTGAAATGAGTGATAATAATCATGTGTTGGGGAAGGAACAGAGAAAAGGGGAGGGGGTCAGTGGAATACCAGAGACACTACGACTGGCAGGGTTGAAATGAACGCTGTTCCATTCTCCGTCTATTTTCAAATGCCTGAATCAAAATTCTCTAATACGTAAATAGACTTTTGCTTACCCCAAATTACATGAAGCACAAGAAACACATGTGAAATTCTTCCATTTCTTAATTCTTAATAAGATCATATTTTCCTGGGTTTTGAAAATTAATTAGGAATGTATTTCCTTAAACAAGATTTTCCTTTATTATAGATATCAATCATTTCTTCTCATGCTGCTGTTGACAAGCCTCTTGCAAAACTATCCATTGTAGTCTTTCTATTTGCAACTGTAAACCAAAATCCTACTTCTTCCATCCCATTTCCTCCTCTCCCAATTTTTCTAACACCCATTCCCAAGTTGTACCTATGTATACAATGGCCTCTTTTACTATAAATCCACTAATTCTCTTTATTTCTCTACTCAAAACAACCGTCAAATCCCTGGATTGTTGCCTCCAATCTCAGCATCACTGATTCCTTTTCATATTCCAGGTCTCAGCTAAAATATTTCATCATTCCTTGACCACCTTATCTAAGTAGGTTTCTCTTTTCATTATTTTCTATCACTGTATCTTGCTATGATTCCTTTCATAAACTCATAATTTGTAATGCCACATTTCTTTATACACTTGCAGTATCCACTGTTTTCTCCAGTAATCTATTACTGGAGAATCTATTACAAGTTGAGATTACAAGTTGAGAGTGCATGTGTTTAATAGGTGTTCAAGAATTTTTAATATAAGTGATAAGTAAAACAAACAAAAAAGTCCCAGTCATAAGTGGGCAGCCAGATAAATTTTCACAAAATGAGCACATCCATATAACCAGCGTAAAAATGATCCAATACTAAGATTAAGATCTCTGGAATTCCCCTCATGGCTTCTTTGAATGACAATCTCCTGATCCTCAAGGGCAATTCGAATGTCTAACATTGCAGGTTAGTGATTTTTTGTTTTCGCTGAATTTTACTTGAACAAAATCATAAAATATAGACCCTTTGTGTCTGGCTGTGAAATGCATCCGGGGTGTCATGTGCTTTTAGGTGTAGTGTGCTCATTTTCATCACTCGAGAGCAGTGCTATTCGAGATGCAGTCTGTGGATCACTGCTGGTCCGCACCCTGTTTGCCACTGATCTGCAGTGCCCTGAGTGTGGAAGGTGTGAGCATTTAGAAACTTTTCCAGTTTGACATTGTGTGTAATATTACACTTTACAAGAATTTCATTCTGACAGCAAGGGCAAAAAATGTGATCCTTCACCACAGTTTGGTTAAGAAAGCACTGCTAAATACAATGAATATATTACAATTTACCTATCCATCCTATTCTTGAAGGACACTGGATTGTTTCCCGTTTGGGGCTATATTAAAGAGTATTGCTGTGAATGTACTTTCTTACATTCATTTGCTGTATCACAGGTCATATACATATGTCAAACTTTAGAATATACTGCCAAGGGGTGCCTGGGTGGCTCAGTCGGTTAAGCGACTGACTTCGGCTCAGGTCATGATCTCACGGTTCGTGGGTTCGAGCCCTGCATCGGGCTCTGTGCTGATAGCTAGCTCAGAGCCTGGAGCCTTCTTTGGATTCTGTATCTCCCTCTCTCTCTGACCCTCCCCTACTTACGCTGTCTCTCTCTCTCTCTCAGAAATAAACATTAAAAAATTAAAAGAAAAAGAATATACTGCCAAATAGTGTTTCAAAGTGTTTATACCAATTTATACTCCCACTAGTTGCTCTACAGTTTTGTCAACAGTTGGTATTGTCTGTCTTTTAAAATTTAGTCATTCTTGTGGGTGTGCAGTGGTCTCATGGTTTTATTATGCATTTTCCTGATGACTAAGGAATTTTCATAAAACTACTGGTCATTTGGAAAGCACTTTTGTGAAGTGCCTGTTTTAGCCTTTTGCCCATTTTCCTACTGGGTTGACTGACTTTATCTGTACGGATTTGTAGGACTTTTTAATGTATTTGGGATAGAGTCCTCTATTTGTAGACGTGTTGCAAATATTTCTCCCATTTGGTGGCCTGCTTTTTTTACTTTCTTCTCTTGATGAGCTCATTTTAATGAAGACCAGTTGTCAACATTTGCTTTAAGATTTGGTTTTTATTTTGTCCTATTTTAAAAATCTTTGCTACTTAAGAAATGTTTCACTTGTTTACGATAAAGTCACGAAGATAATCTATTTTCTTCTAAAAGCTTTATTATTTTACTTTTTTAATATTAAGGTCTTTATCCATCTCAAATTAATGTTTTGTGTATGGTATAAGGTAGGGATTTAAATTTGTTTTTCTCTCATACAATTGATCCAGTGCAACTTATTAAAAAGCCCACCTTTTCCCCAGTGCACTCTACTGTTACCTGTATCATAAATCAGTTGACTATATATGTGCAGGTTTATTTTGAGACTCTTTATTCTATTCCATTAGTCGATGTCTCAATAAATATTTGTTAAATGAGTGTTATCATTAAGAAATCTTATTTAACAAAGGTTAGAACGGATACTACACTATTAGTCTGCTATGTGATTTTTCCATAAGTAATTTAAACTCTCTGATCTTTCATGTCCCCATTTGTTAAATGTAGTTAATGCAGGAAAAATTAAATATAAATGTTCTTTATAAAACATTATACAAATACAATTTATATAACTTGTAATTTACTTGCTTCATCTTAGTTTTGATATCTTTAAGACATCAATATTCTCTCCTCTGAAATCATATTATCTCTAGAGGTTGAGAAGAAAAAAGTCACCAAGGACGAAAGGAGGAGGAAGAGAGAGAGCAAACCAGCTTGTTATGATAGTGGAAATCAAAATGAGATAACACTCACTTAAAAGGTAGATAAAAACTCAGGAAATTCTTTGGGATCTCTTTATACAGGCTTCACTTCTTAATTACAGATTCTACTACAGTCCTGTTGCTTTTTTTCTTGTGTGCAAACTGTGGAAGATCTCACTTTTATTTGGTAAAGGTGTCCATTTCCTCACATGTTTTCATTCAAAGCGTCAACTAAGGTAAACAATGCCTGAGAAAGTCTGAAGGGAGAATATTGCTCACCAATGAGTCCTGATCTGGTACTGTTACTCCAGGATAGTTCTAATTTCTTCAAGAAGGCTTAGGAAACCTGTCCTGTGAAAATTTAATTTCAATTCTATAAAAAGTGAAACACACACACACACACACACACACACATTCACACATACAAATGCATGCACACTTACCTAGAGATACAGCTGTATCTCAGGTAGCATTTTACCCTATATTTCACCCTACTCCTTTTGCCTACCTCTACCTTGGTTATTTGTCCTATGAAACTGTGTATGTTCAAAAATCTGTATCTCCTTACAGATAAAGATTATGTATTTTACCTCTGCCTCTTTTGCATCTAACATAGCGCTGGGCATAAGGTAATCAATGCTTATTTGAATTAATTTACAAGGGTGAGATATACATGTTATAAAATAGTGTTGTAACTCTTAAAAGGTTAGAA